GAGTACTCGCACACCAGGCCAAGTCGAACACTCCCTTGCGATGCTCGAGTGTACTCGAACTTGACCACCAGTCGATCGACATCCAAGATTGACACGGTGGCGTCCAGCGACGTCGCCACTACAGCGCGCATGTCGTTGACCCACTTAACTCGAGTGATCCAGTCCGTGTGCTTCTGGAACTTGACACGCGACGAAAAGCCCTGAGCTTCCAGCATCGCACTACCCGCAGGATTTCCTCCAACAGAACTGGAGTTGCTCGTCGGTGTAGCTGTCTGGGTATTCCCAGCGCTATTCCCGGTGGTAGATCCTGAAGGTGGGGTCGGTCCTGAGTTAACTGTACCTTGACTAACGCCACTTCCGTTGCTAGCACCGTTGGTAGAGTTCGCTGCGGTAGTAGCGCCAGGGGGAGGGGAGCGGCCATCACACGATAGCCACTGATTCGAGCACGTAAAGATCGAGATGCCGCCAGTGTCGTCTCCGATCACAATGGCTTCCCGATCGTCCGAGGGTCTTTCAACGTACGCGAGACACAACGGGATGCACTGGCGTCTTGAATAGTCCACAAGGTCACCGATGAGTTGGGCCAGAGTTCAAGTCGTAGAAACCCACGGTGCGATTCATAGACGACACTGCCAGACGATTCGAGCGCTTCATGACGCAGCAGTCTGTGAGCCAGTCACGACCGGAAGCTAAGACTTGCTGGGGAGCCAGAGTATTGGCACTCCACGTTCGCACACTGCCGTCTTTACTGGTCGTGAGGTAGACGCTGGGTCGTTCTAAGCGCACTATTCGAGTGATCACGTCCTTATGATGAGGCAACAAGCCTAGACTGAGGAAGCCGCCACTTCCTCCTGTGACGTTGCCCATAATGTCCGTCGCAATGGAAGACCCCGTGCCTCCAGAGCCATTGCCACTATCGCCTGCGTATTTCTCAGGGTACGCAGTGTCGTAGCAGGAATTTCCATCGTCGCCAGTGTATTCGTCACTGCCACTGCCGCTGAGGAACATGTACTGATCCCAGTCAATCATTAGCCAGAGGGTGGAGCGCAATATGAAGATCTATCTCTACGTACGTTGGTGAGTTCATCCCAGTCCACCGTTCCATCGGAATTTGCATCGATTTTCTGGAATCTACACGAACGAAACGAGCATCAGTTGGGTGCATGAAGGAAGACGCCAGAGGAGAGGAATGGCATTGTACAATTCTGTGAGTTGAGTCTCGCTGAGTGAGGCGTCGACGATCTCGCGGAACAGACTCACGAACTCTTTCTCGTTCAAGTCTCCATCCGCAAACTTTTCCTTGAGCGACTGCAGCTGCTCGACGCCGATTTCATCACGAGAGAAGACAGTGGCCGAGCGCTTTTTGGCTCGAGGCAGAGCCATGCCGTCGTTCAAGAGCTTCTGAATTGGGACCGGCCGTAGACGAAAATACTAAAGAACTGAAACCGAAGTTCACGAGGGCTGCGTCTGTGTCACCATTTGGTGCTTTTGGTGGTGCACAGGGGACACGAATCCTATTCAGACTGGAGTAGATGTCTTACTCATCGGTATAATCTGTATAAGGTTCGCCTTATTACGAGTGGACAAACCTGCGAATAGCAAGAGGACCAAGTCCTTACGGACAGGAGTTTGGCTACGACTCGTCTGGACCTCGTTGCAGCCGCCCTGCGACTGTCCGAATACATTTGTCGTTTCCGCTTCAGCTCGGCCGCGAGGTTCTCACCAAATTGCTTGAGTTGCGCTTCATAGCGAAGATACTTGTCGTCCTCTTTGTGACGCAGACGGCGACAGCGCACACTATTAGTGTAGTGTGA